TAATTTCAAAATACAAATATATCCCAGTATTATCAGGAAAAAGTGAACAATAGCCCAATACAAAAAGAGGCTGGAATTACTGAATAAAGTATTAGATGAAACAAATAATGTATATTTTAAAATCTTACAGTTAAAAAACAAAATGTATGTGAGAAAATTTGATTGGTTTTCAACCAATAAGAAAGAAAAACAGGAACAAGTAGCTCTTAAAAAAAAAAATCAACTGGAGTTTTCTACATTAGATGGTTTGTTATTCTAAAAAGTACTTAGTTAATAATACCATGCTTTCAAATGGACCTCTGTGAATTAACCATCAAGCTTTCAATTAACTATTATAATAGAGTACTTTGAAATGAAAGCTAATAATGCCCAGAGTGAGACAATAGAATGTTTCTTCTATTACAGATCCTGGCTGTTAGCCCTAAGCACTTCACATTTTCTCTTAATTACACAAGAAAATCTTTTTCAGATTCTAAAACAAACACAACAAGAACATAACACATTTACACATACCTAACATGTTAGAAAAAAACTGAATTCAAACAACATAGGGAGTCAATGCCACTGTCTTCTCTGTTTTGAAACCCCAGAATTAATAATTCTATTGAAACAGGACCAGGTTAACCAACAAATATAAACAACGTGTAGGAAGGCAATCAAAAACACATATTAGGACATTACCTTAAATCAAAATTCTAAGTTCAGAGCTGTAAAAGACTATTCACACACACACACATTCACAATGGCTATTCTGATTAAGAAGCAGTGTTCTCAACATTGTTTATTGTTTAATTATTCATGTAATTATAATTATTACAAATGTTATTCATGATACGTTACTACAATTACATTCCAAAAACATAAACAATCAAAGACGTTACTATAAATATCCAAATCACAGTGGCCCAGAGTACCTGGGGCTCTAAGTAGCTTGAGAAAACTAGAGTAGAATCCAATGTAGGACTAAGAAGAAATGAGACTGCAAATGTAGGCGGGGCCAAGTCACAAAAAGCCTACAGTCTTAGATTTCTATCCTGTTATGTCACACTTTTCAAGCTAAGGTCAGAGTACTCTGCGGTAATAAAGGAGGACGGAAATTCAGTGAGTCTTCCGTAAGTGTTAAGTTTATGAAAAACATTTGGTGGACAGTGAAATAGGTTTAAGTCACTGTTTTTCACATTAAATCCAAGTTTATTAGTAGGACATAAAATTAATAAGAATTTTTCAGTCAGAACATGAAGCTTCAAAGCAATTTCATTCTTAGGGTAGGCTAGTGGTGCTCCACTATTCCTTACAAGCTGGGGAAAAGAGATATGTTGAGGGACATTTGAGGAAGAGTTTGAGAAGCAGTGCTGGGAATGTGGAGCCAAACCTTTCTTTCTTTCTTTTTTCTTTTTTTTTTTTTTTTTTTTTGCAGAAGAGTGACACGATTGGATTTGTGCCTTGGGGGAGTTCTCTCAGGGGAAGCAGTAAGCAGGATGGGCTAAAACACAAGACACAGGACAATAATGAGGGTAGATGACAAACAGAAGAAAAGTTGTAATAGTCTGGGCAAGAGATGAAAACGGACATGAACCAGAGAGGAGACCTGAAGACACAGAGGGCTAGGAGGATTCGAGAAAGCGTAGGAGGCCAACCAGACAGCACCTGACCACACAGTGACTATTGTATGAGGCAGCTTTTAAGAACTGCTTTTACCCAAAATTACAATTTGAGTAAGATTTATAAAAATCCTGCTTAATAAAGGAAAAACTCATGTTTTAAAAATGTTAAAGGATATTATTGGGTTCCTAACTAATCAATTACCAATGGAATTTTTCTAGAGACATTGCTATACAGCTTGAGAACTGAAGTTAGTAATGGCCTTGGTCCTTAATGTAATTAATATTCCAGAATAAATGAATGAATGAACCTATAGAGTCTTCTAGAAAAGAACAGGAATTTGATATTTAAATTATCTGATTACTTAACAACTGAACAAAAAGTAATAACTTTTTCTTAAACCATGTTAGTTATTTCACAAGGAATAAATAGGTAGTTTAGCCAAGCAATAAATGCTAAAAGGCACAACATAAAACTCAAGTTAAACCCTCATTTCTAAGTTGACAGTAAAATGCACCCACTAAGGCAACTAGAATTGTGAAGGGAAATAAAAGGGAAAATATAACAAATTCTTGCAAAACATATTTAGAGTAGATTAAGTATATGTTAATTTTATTCAACCAAAAATAGCAATGCTCAGTCTAATTAATCTGAAGACTGTCTTTTAATTGCTTTTAAAAATTAGTATACTATTCTATTCTACTTATTTAACACGGACCACATAGTTACGATTGTGAGCAGAAAACTAGCAAAGATACAAATACAGAAGATGACAGAAAAAAAAATTACTCAAATGTTATTTGTGTGCTGATATGTTTAGATTTTAAAACTACACATCAGAAATATTTAAAACAATGTTTTATAATATAAATTGTCATTGGAAAAAGTGCTAGAACAAGTCTGGAAACTAATCTCTAGATCCTAATAACTTTTTTTTTTTTTTGCTTTTAGATGAAATTCTTCAATTCTCAAAAAAAAAATGGCATAAGAATTTAACTTAACATAAAAATTTAAGATACTTCACTTGACAGTAGAAGACTCATCTAGATATGTAGATCTTATACCAATTTTATTCAATAGCTTATGCTTGCTACCTTACAGAAAATCCTAAGATTGAGGCCAAACATAAATTCATAACAGAGAAAGGATATCTCAAAAATAGAAATCAGTCTAAATCACATAAAACCTCCATCCATCTCTAATGCCAAGTAATTAAAACTGTTCCCTTTTTTAGACCCTTTGGTATATTTTTTCATGTCTCTTAATGAGGGAAATGAGAAAGACACCAACAGCAAAACAAGGATAGAGCCAACTGTCTAGAATGTTGTCTAAACATTTTTAGAATGCAAGGAAATACAACAAAAATAGATGACACTCCACAAAAATAATAAGACATTTCTCCATCTCTCTTTTCCTAGATTATCTATACACAGAGCTGCTATCCATTCAGTTTTTTTTTTTCCTTTTAACACCACCTGCCTCTTCCAGGCATCCCTCCTCCTGAGCCCCTTTCCTGTCTTCTATTTGCATGGGTAGGGGAAATTGGCCTCTATGAAATCAGTCCATTGCAGGTGTTTTTATAGGTAGCATCACAAAATACTACCTGATGGAAAGTGGACAATAATAGAGCTGAAAGAGGAAATGAGATACATTGCTTTTTGAAACAAAATGGCCCCTCGTTTATATAGATTATAAGGTTATATGCTCTCATTTACTGTAAGGTGTAATTACATAATAATGAGGCATTGCCCTTATTATTTTACGGGTCTTATGGAAGAACTGCTGTGCAGTTATCAATAGCCAGCCCACTTGCAATTTCCTGTATCCTGTTACACAAGGAACTACATAAATCAGCCCAAATCTCCCACTGCCAGGACAGACCACCCTCCCCCATCCACACAAAATATGTAATTTCAAGCTGTATATGAAATATACACAAACATCTAGACAATTAAGAAACATGGAAGTACAGAGACATGGTCTCTCTCTTTTCCTTGTGTGTGTGTGTGTGTGTGTGTGTGTGTGGTGAAACAAAAATGCATATGTATACATAGGCACCAGAAAAGGGAGAAGGATACTATCTCACGTCAACAATGGCTGTCTTTAAGTATCAGAAATATGGAAATATTTCCTTGCCATTGGTGACAAAATGGATGGACCTGCGGGGTATTAGGCTAAGTGAAATAAGCCAGACTGAGAAAGACAAATACCATATGATTTCACTTACATGTGGTATCTAAAAAACAAAAGAACAAACAAACAGACTCACAGACACAGAGAACTGGTAGTTGCCAGAAGGGAGAAGGATTGGGGGAGGGAAGGGATGGGTGAAACAGGTGAAGGAGATTAAGAGGCACAAACTTCCAGTTATAAAATAAATAAATAATGCGCATGAGAAGTACACCATTGGGAAACTAATCAGTAACATTGTAATAACTTTATATGGGGACAGATGGTAACATCGCGGTGAGCAAAGCCTAAGGTATGGAATTGTCCACTATGCAGTACACCTGAAACTGATCAAACATTGTGCGTCAACTACAAGTAAAAAGAGAGAAAAGAAAGACAGGTGATTTCTATTCTTCCCCTTTGTGCTTCTCTGTATTGCTTTTCTACAATGAGCATGTAGACTTGGGCAATCAAGGGCGAGTGTTAAATAGATGCAAAGTTTCTAAGCTTGAAGCAACAGTTACCAGTTAATCTGGATCAAAGACACAAAGTAGCCTGTCTTTAAGCCTCTTTGAGTCACTGAGTAACAAATCCTGCAGTACTTGGCATGGCAGAGGTGGTCGCAAGGTTCCCCAAAGCTCAGGGATAACCTCTCCATTTCGAGGCCTTGGTAAACTGGGGAGACAGAGTTCTTCCATACACACTTGGGCAAGTGATTCTGCAGCAGCAAAACTCACTCCCAGCTCTCCCATGACCCCGCCCCCCATGGCACACCCAAGTCCGGAGGACCCCGGAGAGACCCTCTCAAGGTACTCCCGGAAACCTGGTCCCCCAAAACTGTGCTCCACGGCTCCCCTCCACTCTCGTTCACCCACCTTTCCCCCACTACTCCCGCGACCTCTTCTCCTCCCACACCCGTAAGGGCCACAGGGGAAGAAAAGAGCCGGGCGGACTAAGGACAGCCTCCCCGGATTCCCGTGACCTTGGACCAGCCGCTTTGCCTCTCAGAGCCTCGGTTTCCCAATCTGCCACTCTCGCCAGAGGACCGCAGGCTCAGAAACCGGGGGGCTCTGCAAAAGCGACAGACGGTTCTAACTCCGCACCGATCCCCCTCCTCCCCTCGAGCGTTCCAGGGCGCCGGGCACCAGCCTGGACGCCGCGGGGCAGCTTCCCCCGGAGCCCTGCCTCGATGCCCCCGGACGGGTCGCCTCCCAGCGCTAACCTCGTACCTGGCAGTTGCTGTCCTGGGGCAGGTTTTTCACCAGGATTTTCCTGCGGTTGCTCAGCTCCCGGCGCATCCGCTGCAGCCGCGCGGCGACCTCCTCGGGGTGCAGCGCGCTGGGCGCGGGGCCCCGGGCGTCCTCGCTCGCGCCGGCGGAGGGGCTCGGCCCGCGCGGCCGCGACCCTGGCCCCGGCGCGCCGCCCAGGCCCGCGCCCCCCTTGCCGCTACCGCCTCCCGCCGCCGCCATCTTCCCGGGCGCCCCGCGGCTGCGGGCTCCTCCGGAGGTTCGAGGGGAAGCGGAGAGAGAAAGCGGGAGGAGGCCCGGGCGGGGGCGAGGCGGGCAGAGGCCGCAGAGTGGGCCCGGCCGTGGCGGGGAGGGAGGCGGCGCCGCAGCCAGCAGCCGGCGGGCGGGAGAGGAAACCTGAGCGCCGAGGAGGAGCCGGAGAACCACCTCGCGGGAACCTCCCCCTCGGGCCCCGGCCCCCGCGCACGGGCGGCGCCCATCCCTCCCGCCCGCCCCGCCGGTGGGGGCTCGGGCGCCGCCACCCGGACACCTGTGCGGCCGCGGGCGGCCGACTCCCCTGCCCGCAGGGCCTTAGACGAGCGCCCAGGCCTGGGCTCCGGGGACGCGGCCCCTTGGCGGCAGCTTCCCGGGGGGACTCGAACCCCAGGCTCCAGTCCCCGAGCGGCCTCCCCACGTGACACCCAGCTGTCCCCAGGCTCTACTCGAAACTCCCGCTCTGAGGCGGCTCGGGGGCTGCAGATGCCAAGTCGGGCTCCCCAAACCCGGCGAGGTGCCCGGCGGGCTCCGGACTTTAACCTTCTGTGCTCAAGAGGTGCATATTTGGCAAAGAACTTTGAGTTTACATTGAAAAATAAAATTTGAGATTTTCTAGGGAATACAAAGATATTCTGGAGGAAATTGTTGTATATATTTGGAAAAACCTGATGGCAAAGTATTTTCCTTGCTTTGTACCAAAGACCCTGGGCTTTTCACCCGTCCTTGGGTAAATTTACTAAAATATGAAAAACCTGGATGGTTGCATGTGCAACGTAGAAAGCGATGCTGAAGCAAAAACGAACATGGAAGAGGAGCTACGGCGGGGGGCTCGAGACTCGAGAATACCCTACTTGAAGCATTTTCACTGAAACCTAGAGGGAGAGTTACATTGTAGAACTGTGTTCAAAGTGATGTTATCAGATCAAAGCATCAGCAACCTTTTGCAACAGCCCAAATGACTATTAGGACTAAGCATCTTAACTGTGTACCGTGCAAACACACGAAAAAACAAAAACCCTGTTTAACACCAGTATTATTCCGTTAGGGGAAAATATTTCAAATTAAGGTAGCCAAAAAATAAAAACAGAATAAAAAAATACTACCATTCAGTACTTACACGGTACCCCTACATATTTCTAAGTGCTTTATATATATTTCATCTACTCTTCACAATAATCCAGTTTTATTTTTTTAAAGATTTTATTTACTTGACAGAGTGAGAGGGGGAACACAAGCAGGGGGAGTGGAAAGGGGAGAAGCAGGCTTTCCGCTGAGCAAGGAGCCTGATGCGGGGCTCCGGGATCATGACCTGAGCTGAAGGCAGACGCTTAACGTCTGAGCCACCCAGGCGCCCCAATAATCCAGTTTTATTTTAGGTTCTATTTCCTCACAATACACATGAAGAAATGGAGTCTGGTCTGCTTATTTCTGAAGCCCAATGATCTTAATAATATAAAGAGATTCCTTTGTAATCCCCAAATAATGACTCCTAATACTTCTGAATTTATTCTCTACCAGTACATACTTAGATCATCAAAATGATTCTGCAGTACATATTCATAGCAAAACTATTCCCAATAGCCAAAGGGTGGAAACAGCCCAAATGTCTATCTACCTGGGAACAGATAAACCAATTGTAGTATATACATACAATAGAATATTATTCAGGCATAAAAAGGAATAAAGGCAGATGGGCCTCCGAAACATTAAGTGAAGGAGCAAAGGGTAACATATGTGTGATTCCATTCATATAGAATATCCAGAATAAGTACATCCCTAGAGACAATGCAGATTGGTGATTACCGGGGGTTGGGGGAAGGGGGATTGGAAATTAACTGCTTAACAGGTGCAAGTTTCCTTTTGGGGTGATGAAAATGTTTTGGAACTAACAGGTGGTGGTTGGCCAATAAAGTGAATGAACTGAATAGCCACTGAATTGTTCACTGTGAAATGTTTAATTATGTCGTGTGAATTTCACCTGGAAATTTTAAAAATGATATTTTACAATCACTTTGTTAACTTGTTTTTTGAGCCTCCTGCTATGCCAATATAATTGAATGTCATTTTTCATGGTTGCATATTGTTCTATTGTGACAATCACTGTAATTTGTCATTAATTTCCCAGTATTAGACATATTTCTCCATTGTTAAAAACCCTGAGATTAATACCCTGTGTCTATATTTGTAGATGCTTAATATGCCATAGAATAAAGAACTAGAAGCAAAATTTCTACATCATAGAAAAAATATAATTAAAGGTTTTTGGTATGTATTTCCAAACTACCTTCTTCAGTTTTTCCCTATCACAGACATCATCTGAGAACGCTCATTTCCCTGCTTACATCCATGATAATTTGACATCAAAATAGTATCTCATTTTGTTTTCAATGTTATTCCTTTGATTTAAAAAGTTGTGAATTTTGGGGCACCTGAGTGGCTCTGTGGGTTAAGCCTCTGCCTTCAGCTCAGGTCATGATCTCAGGGTCCTGGGATTGAGCCCTGCATTGGGCTCTCTGCTCAGCAAGGAGCCTGCTTCCCCCTCTCTCTCTGCCCACCTCTCTGCCTACTTATTATCTCTCTGTCCAAAAAAAAAAAAGTTGTGAATTTTAAATTCCAATAAAGCCCCATTTTGTAGCTGAGAGACTATGAGAAATACATTCTTTGAAGTGGGAAGGAAGCATGAATAGCCTTAGCATGTGCTCTGACCCTGATTCACTCATTAAGTTTCAGAACATGTATTTATCCAAATGAGTCCTGTGTTTCTAACATTATTAAGTATCTCTTATGTGCACACACACACACACACACACACACAAACAGGCACTAGAATACAGAAGCAGTAAAATAAGGTTTCTGTGTAATAGGGACTCAGTTTCATGGTGAGAAAATTATACAATAATTATAATTAAATGTGATAAACATGGAAACAGAAACTTCAGGAGTAGCCCTGAAAAACAGTGCTCTGAGTCTAAGTTTAGTGATGTTGCTTTTGCTGAAAATATCTTTCAGACTGCTTTTTTGGTATTGACTTCAGAATCTATGGCGAATTTTTTGGCCTAGTTTCTGCGGGAGTGAATGTGCATGTCTCAGAGATGGGTTTGACTTTGGAAATAATTAAATGTTATTGGAAGCCAAGTCTGGTGAATGAATCAGGTGTTGATTATGCTTTTGGAATTATGATTATGTAATTAGGGTTTGGGGCCCCAAGAGGGGCATGATTACAATGTTATGAAGTTATTAAAGCAATTTTATTAAGTGGGTACTTGGATGTGATCCCACTTCTGGAACAATATTGCTGTGTCCTGTAGGGTGGTGGCTTTTAAATGACTTCCCAGTCCAGTGAGAGCTGTATACTGTAGTAGGAAATACATTTTACATCCCAACCCAGTAAACACACACACATGGAGCTGTAACAAAGATTTTATGAAACAACATACTCACCTGATGCAGCACATTCTAGTATTTTCTATTTCTTTTTTTTAATTGCTGGGGGGGTGGTGATGCACTAAATTGATTTCATGTGCTGTTAATTAGTCATTACTCACATTTTGAAAAACACTGCTCTAGTTTGCAAACCAATGATTTTCCTCATTACTCTGGCTGAGCTGTTTCCAAGGAATTCAGGGAAATAATAGAACTTACTGATTTTAAATTATTTAACTGAATTGATTATATTGCCACATGAGAGAAATGGATGGAAACTGCAAAGATTTGGACATGCTACTATAAATCCAGAGAGTTCTCTCATTCCAGATTTTAGCCTAACGTTTTAAATAGCAGCTCCCAACAAATCACTAAATTCTCCCCCTGAAACTAATAATATATATATAATATATATATATATACATATATATAGTAACTACATTGAATTAAAAAAAAAATTAAAAGCAGACTTCATGGCCAATTAGATGAACATTCTAATCTGACCCTGAAGTGGAGTACAATTACCAAGTTGCAAAGTATTTACCAATAACCACAGGTAATTATCATGATCTGTATAATTACCTTGTTCTTAAAACATGCTCTTATTTTTTTCAAAAGTTTTGGTGGTTGTTTTTATGTATTTTTGAAGCTCTGTAATTGGGGAAAATGTTGGAGAAATTTAGTAAGTCCCAGCTGATAATAATAGAGCCTCTTATAGCCAGACAGTCTTAAGCTTGTATATTATGCTAATGTGATGACAACAGGTTAAGCATGTGAAAAGACCTGTCAACTCTAAGAATCTTTTAGGTATCATTTATTCATTCAGTGACCTATAGTGATTGCCTTCAGTATACCAGATACTGTGCAACACACACCAAATCCGATTGATTTTTATTTGGAAATGGTCTTTTCCCTGAGGAAAGTAGTTGCAATTTAATAATTGCAGATTTGGCATGATAAGTACTATGAATAAAGTGCTCAATAGCACAGAGGAGTGTTTGATTTTGACTTAGGGGAAGGTATAGTGAGGAACCAGGTCTTGAAGATGAGCAGGGGTTTTCTAGATGACAAAGGGTAAATACTAACACAGGAAACAGAAAGAGACCCAAAAGCATCAAAGGGACTGGCATGTCCATGAAATAGTAAGTTTGATGTTAATGAAAGCTGTGCTACTTTTGAGAGAGGAGCAGAAAAATAAATGAGAAAGATGGCAAGTTGGTTCCACTTTAAGTCGATGCTTTGGTATGGCACAAAAAGCAAACTCATAGAGAAAAGCAGTATTAGAGGCTTTTAGGGAAATGTCATGATCAGCTCCAGCTTTAAAAAAATAATTCTGACTACAACTGAGAGAATGATCTTACTAAGTCTTATGT